GTGGGAGAAAGGGCGTGAGAGAGAGAAGGCTAAGGGGAGGCAGCAGCAGCCACCTAGAGGAGCTGGGCCTGGGGAATCAATAAAAGGCTGGTGTGTTGGTATGAGGGGTAGCAGGGCAAAACAGGAATGCAGATTCTGGAGCCTGGCTGCCTGGGTTCAGACCCAGCTCTGTCACTTAGGAACTGGGTGATTTTTTTTTTTTTTTATGATAGTGCACGTGTGCACATGAGAGAGGGAGGCACCCTTGGCCAGGGTCTTGTGATGTTGCAATCCCTTTTCTAGGAACTGAGTAGTCTTAACCTCTTCAGCCTCAGTTTCTGTAAAATGGAGGTAACATTGGAGGATAAACACACCTTTATTACACATGAGGAAACTGAGGCCCAGAAAAGCTAAGTAACTTGTCCAGGGTCACATAGCTAGTGAATGATGTAGCTGGGATTTGAACCCACAGCCTCAGCTTTTGCCTCTTTTGTCTTACTATCTATCAAGATGCGGCTTGAGCTGAGACCTGTATCCCAGACCTCCCTGCAAACCATGATACTCTGGACTGGGGTGGGCCTGGGTCACTCACTTGAGGAAGTCCTCTGGTTCCTTGAAGACCTTCTCACATCCAGGCCACTTGCAGATGCCATTTGCCAGCAGTGGGTAGGAGCCCTGGGGCAAGACTGAAAGGGTGCTGGGGAGACAGAGGGTGTCAGGGGAGGAGATGGCAGGGAGAAGGGCCTTCCAAGCCTTGTCTACTAACCTGTCTTTCCTGGGTGCAGTGGGGCTTGGGAAGGTGCAGAGCAGTGCTGGTTCCCTGGACACCCACTCCAAGCTGGCCACATTGATCCCTGGGGATGGAGATGAGGCACCTCTGGGGATTGCAGGCTGGCTCTAGAGCTCAGCCCACAGGTCTCTTATTTAGTTTCCATTCTCCTGAGCCTTGAACACTGACTCCCAGGGGTTTCTGTTGTCCCAAAATCTACTGCTTCTGGTGGAGCAGCTCAAAGACTGCCACTTACAAGTGCTGACATTTTTTGACTAATTTTGCAAAGATCTGTGGTTCCGTGACTTTGACATTCTACATCTTTAAGGTTCTAAACCTGACATTTTTTTGGAGGTTGGAGTTTCCAAGACTCTAAGACCTGATACCTCTGACCTCCAGAGGGCTGTGATCTACAACAGCCTACGTTGATTACATTCAAGGATTTGGGGGCCCTGGGGTTCTCTGAAACCATGGGGTGCAGGCTGAGGTGTTACCAGGTGGCAGGCCAGTCCGGGCCTTGAGGGAGAAGACTCCGGCGGCAGCAGTGGGTGGCGGGAGGCTGATTGTGGCTGGGGTATCCAGCGAGCGCATCTGTAGCACGGGGGTCCGAGTGTGGGCATCCACCGTTGACAGCTGGGGCACATGTGGGTCATGGTTCAGTCTGGCTTGGGGCCACCTCCACACAGTTGTTCTACCTGCTCGCTACTCCTTGCCCATCACCATCCGTACCTGGTGCATGAAGTGCGGTCTGTCCTGGAGGAGTGCCTGCAAGTGGGGTGAGGTGCCCAGCCGTGCCCCGGACGGTGCCACCATGACTAGGGGCACTGTGGGAAGCTGGGGGAAAAGAAGGCTGGTGAGATGCCGTCCTCATCCTCACTGTTCTAAGTCTAGTTCATATGCCCCTCACCACAACTCCACATAGTAGGTATGATTACCTCCATTTTACATGTGTGGAAACTGAGGATCATGAAGATTGAGTGACATTTTTCAAGTTCAAACAGCTAATAGGTGATAGAACTGGCCTCAAACCTGTCACCTCACCTCCTTGGGGCCCAGCCCTTTCCTTTTCTCATATGGGGGGGGGGTGTGTGGGGACACATGGCTGTGCCCATGGGACCCTGATAAGGTCTCCTCTTTTGAGACAAGGATTGAGAGGTTGGGAGAGCCTTGAATCTCCAAGGCCTGGCAAGTGGGGACTTTCTTGGCTCTGTGACATCTGCATAAGTCACAGACTTGCCTGGGACCCAGAAACCACTTCCTGTGCCCCAGCCAGCCTCCCCTCCCGCCCTGTGCCACAGTAAAGGTCGACACCTGTACGCCCAGGTACCCCACCCTGCTTGCCCCATCCTGGACCCTGGGCCTCACCTGCAGCTGTGATGGTGGCATGGGGTTTGAGGAGGAGGAGGAAGAAGAGGAGGAGGAGGTGGCAGTGGCATGGGCCCCGCCTCGGAGGTCCCGGCCCTGAAAGGTTCCCCCTGGGCCTCTGGTCCCCAGCAGGTCTGAGGCCTTGGGTGCAGCCCTCCAGCTGGGTGAGGTTCCTGGTGATGGGCTGAGGGCTAAGGAAGTAGCCGAGGACTTGGTTGGCCTGGGATTGGGCATTGGGTCCTTGTCCAAGGGCAGGCTGTGGGGACATGGGAGAAGGAGTCAAACATGTTAGTGGGAGTGCCCCCACCTGAACCACGTGGACACCCCTTCTGGTCAGAGCAGGCATTGGCTGGGGCATGTCCCAAAGGGCCCTCCAGCTGCACCTGGTCATTTTGCACATGTACACACACACACACATTGGTGTCAGGAACACAGGTGTGTGTGTGTGTGTACCCACATATGCACCATGTGCATATGTACACAGATCCAGCACCCACCTTGCCTGCACAGCTCTGGTGCAGATGTGTCTTCTGTGAGGGTGATGAGGAAATAGTTTGTGGGACAACCTTAGCCAGTGTAGGTTTCAGCCCCTTTGCCCCACCACTTGAGGTCCACCTTCAAGCCTCAGCCCTCTGGTCCTACCTGCACTCTGCAGAACTACATAGCCTCTGCTAATCCTGCTGCATCTGGTCTCTGACTTTCTCCTGGGGGCATCATTTTACTCCATTGACTTGGGCTTTAACTCAAAAGATTCATTTTAGCTGATAGGAGGGTGATGGGCTCTAGGAAGGTGGGAGCAGGATGAGAGAGGAGGCTACCACAAAGTCCAGGCAAATGATGATGATGGCATAGACCGAGATGGTAAGAACTGGGTGTTGTCTGAATGTGTTTTGAAGGTAGAGTCAGGAGAGGTGACTGACAGCTTGGATAGGGGGAGGGGGCAGTGAGAGGAGGGTCAAGGTGACTTCTGGGTTTTAGCTTGAGTAGCTGGAAAGACAGAGCTGACATTACCGAGGGTGTGTGTGTGGGGGGGGAGCATGGTTGGAGATGATAATCTAAGTGGAACAACATGAACAGTTTGGTGTTAGACATGTGGGTGGAAATGTTGAATGGGCAGCGGGATACAGGAGCCTGGAGCTCAGGGCTAGGAGCTGAGTACAGGAATTGGATCAGGTCTGGGCTCCTGCCCTGCTTGGAGTGGGCATGGCAGGTGTCAGAGGAGGAGAGATGAGCTCTCTTCAGCCAGGGCCTGTGGGAGCTCCTCAAGTCAGCCCCATCAGGGTTCACCCTGGTCTCTGCCTTCTGAGCCTGCTTCCAAGCCTTAGCTCATGCTGCTCACCCTGCCTGGAATGCCACTCTTCCTCTTCTCCCCCACCCCACCCCAGCCATACAAGGCCTGTTCTTCCACTGCCATGTTGAAAACCCTCTGGATTGGCTCCAGGCCCCTCTGCTGAACTCCAGAATCTTATACTCCTTGATGGGCAGGGGCTCGGTTTCTCAGGACCCTGTGATATTAGTCTGAGAAGAGGCCAGAACTTTTCTCTGTCCAGGCAACCCCATATTACTGAAGGGGACACCCAGGTGCAGAATTTTATAGTCCCATGGTGACTTGAGACCTCCATTTCTTTTTCCAGGAAGTGTGTGTGTGCCTGTGTGCACATTTCACAAGCTCCCTGCTGTGTGTGTGTGTGTGTGTCTCCATCCCACCTCACAGCACTGGGTTGGGCACAGCTGCTGAGGGCAGCATGGGGAGTTCTGGGGGAGTTGTTAGTTGTTCCTTCCTTTCTTTGCTGTTCCCTTATGGCGATTACCAGAGCTGTGATGCTAAGGGAGATGGATGTGAGAAGCCAGGTATTAAACTTAATTAATGGCAGGGGGTGGGGGAAGGGAGGTAAGAACATTTCTCAGTGAAAACTAGGAGGATTATGGCTCTATTGAGGTTCAGAACATGGCTCTGGGAGAATGTTAGTGAGTCGAAGGGGTGAATGAGTGAATGAGAGGAAGGCACATACAGGGTGATGCTTCTACAAGCCAAGGATCAACAAAAATGGTTAGCAAACCACCAGAAGCAAGGTGAGAGGCCTGGAACAGATTTTCCTTTACAGACCTGGGAAGGAACTAATCCTGCCAGCAGATACCTTGATCTTGGACTTCTAGCCTCCAAAACTGGAATGATAAATTCTTGTTATTTAAGCCACCAGTTTGCGATACTTCGTTATAGCAGCCCAAGCAGACTAATACCAATTTTGGTGAGTGAGTGGATAATTTCCAGTGCTCTAGCCTGGGCCAGTCACTTTTGAAGCTGTCTGGACGCTTGGGCTAAGCATATAAGAAATCTCCCCAAACATGTCTGGACTGGTCTGACTCAGGGAAGCATAGACACATTCTCAGAAAGGGGACCTGGATATGGTCTGTCTGGTAGTGGGGTACCTGGAGGGCTGGGCTGGGCAGCCAGCTTCCTGCACTGTCTGTTGGGGCGTCCCTTTCTGACTAGGTTTCTCAGAAGCTGCATGGAGGATGTTTATGGGACACAGATTATGTTTTCGTATCGGGGTCTGCATCTGGGCCCTGTTGTCACAGCCTCCGACTTCCCCAGATTTTTCTGCCATTGACGTCATGGCGGCCGGATGCGCTGGGCTTCATCGGTACTGAGGAAGAGAAGGGGGCAGACTCCCCACCCCACGGGTTTCGTTCCGAGAACTGGCTAGCCCATCCTCCAACCCGCTTTGCCCCGCCGGGG